CCCAGCATTCTGGGAGGCTGAGGTGGGAGGCTTGCTTGAGCCCAGAAGTTTGAGACTAGGGCAACATGGTGAAACCACATCTCTAAGAAAAAATACCAAAAAAATTAGCTGGGTGTGGTGGCTTGTGCCTGTAGGCCCAGCTACTGGGAAGGCTGAGGTGGGAGGATCGCTTGAGCTCGGGAGATTAAGGCTGCTGTGAGCCAAGATGTTACCACTGTACTCCAGCCTGAGTGACAGAGGAAGAACCTGACTCAAAAAGCAAAACAAAATATGTTTAAGAGGAAATCTACCCAGTGAAATTTGTACATGATGAGCCTTCATTCTTTAGTTTTCTACTAAAGCATTTATCAAATTCAAGCTCTTGAAATTTCAAGAATATGTGTCTGCAAGCATCACTGGGAAGAAGCCCAACTATATTCACTGGAATCCTGTGCCTCTATTTGGTTATAAGGTGACTGTCCACGGAGGGGCAGTAAAGTGTAATGGTTTAAAATTCAGGTCTTAACTGTAATCCCACTGCCAATTTTTTTATTTCTTAAAATATAAAAGTGATACAAAAATTTTAAAATTGTATAGAGAAATTGTGGACTTCCTGAAGGATTTGAAAAATTAGGCAAGCTATATTACTCAGTTAATAATTGACACAAAGGCTCTGGTTTGCCATGTTCTATATTGTGGATAGGAAATACCATTTTGCCATACAGGATTTTTTTCTTTAATATAAGCATACTTATCAGTCTTTTGTGGCTTCTGAGTTTCGTATCATACTTAAAAAGATGTTCCTTATTATAAAGTAATTTTAAATGTCCCATATTTTCTTCTAGTACTTTTATTATTTTATTGTTCAGATTTAATTTTTTGATCCATCTGGAATTTATTTTGGTATGATGTATAAAGCATGATTCCAATTTTATTTTTTCTTCCAGATGGTTACCTAGTTGTTCTAACACTATCTACTGAATTCATCATTTCCCCACTGATTTGAAATGCTACCTTCATGATATTCAGAATTTTTGTATGATATGAAAGACTAATTTTTTTTTGGTCCCGATTTGAGTGGAAGGTCCTCATGTGCACTTTTTAAAGTGCACTCTGTCCCAGAGTTCGTTGTTTTAAATATTTTAAAAGTTGTCTATTGATATGATACTCAGGACTTTTCTCCTCCCTTCATGAATTTGTCATTACCCGGCTCATTTTAGTTTCTTTAAGTGTACTGCACACAACCTTCAAATATTATGAGCATTTCTCTCTCCCAGCTGTCACTACACCAAACTACATATGTTAGATTTCCCTAAATCATCTCGCTGTGCTCTTTGCAGCTCTTCTGTAGACTGTTGATATCTTCACCTAACAAGTTGTTCAAAAGTTCCCATAATTACTTAGGTGAGGCCTCAGAGTGAAACCATCCAGTTCCTTCCCTAAATGGGCATTCATTTCCACATAACGAGGATGGCTATGTTTGGGGCAAAATAACAGATTTGGAAGCACAATGGCGGTTACTTGTTGGCTCTTGAACCAATCCACCTGGTGGTGGGGGGGGGGCGCGTCCTACACAAATGTCAACTGCTATTGTGGGAATGTTTTGCTATTTATTCCAGCAAAATGATTCAGCCAGGAAAAAAAAAGGCCGGGGGGGGGTCGCCCTGTACTAGGTCTTGAACCCAAAGAACTGTTTGCACAGAGATTCATCCAAGATACATCACAGCCTCCACCTTAGCAGCTGCTCTCTGAAATGTTTCCCGACTCTCAAGTCAGTCTCCGCGTGCGGGGAGGAGGAGGACGCTGCCAGCAACGGCGCTGCTGGCACGAAGGCTGGCCTGCAACTTCTATTTAAAAGCTGAACCAAAATATGCTTGGCGTCTGCAGTCTATTTAAAACTTCAAGTGAAGACAGAGAAAAATTACTCTCCATCCTGAATGGGCCTTGGGTGTCTCAATCACAGGCAAGAGTGGCAAATGGTGAGAGTCACAGAGCGGGAAATGAGGAGCGCCGAGGGAGCAGGGCCAAACTGACGCCAGGCACGAAAGCAAGCCCGGGGACCGGGGGTGGCGGCTCACGCCTGTAATCCCAGCACTCTGGGAGGCCCGGGGGGCGGATCACCTGAGGTCGGGAATTCGAGACCAGCCTGGCCACGTCTGTACTGAAAAGACAAAATTAGCCAGGCGGGGTGGCGCGTGCCTGTAGTCCCAGCTACTCGGGAGGCTGAAGCAGGAGAATCGCTTGAACCCCGGAGGCGGAGGTCGCGGTGAGCCAAGTTCGCGCCATTGCACTCCAGCCTGGGCAACAAGAGTGAAACTCTGTCTCATAAAGAGGACCTCGGATTCGAACTCCTAACCCGAGGCTCCATCTGCAACCCCTCGAGACCCTGACTCTTCGCGCTCGTCAGCCACCTCTGCCCCGCGCCCCTCCCCGGCTTCAAGGCTTCCTCCTCAGAGCCCTCGCCTCAGAGTCCTCTCCCTAATTGTAGCGAAGTGCTCACCTCGAGAGACGCCACAGCTCAACGGTCTCCTCCCTTCAAGGTCCCTCTCCTCAGCGCGCTTCCTCCACAGCGCCCCTCCCTCACTCCCTCACCCCAGCGCGCCACCCAGAGGAGGCTCCTCCTCGTTTCACTCCCCTCAGTCCTCGCCCCGCCCCCTCACCCTGCGCCCTGCCCCGGCTCCCTCCTCGCTACGCCCCCTCCAGGCCACGCCCTCGGGTTCTTCCAACTGTTGGCCCGTTCGCCCCCCTGCCCCTCGGTCTTAGCCCCGCCTCCATTGCTTTCCGCCCCGCCCACTGTGGGCACGCCCGCACCACCCTCGCCCCTCCTCCTCACCTGCGCCCCGCCCTGGCCCCGCCCAGCCCCTCGGTCCTCGCCCCGCCCTCCTCAGTTGGCGCCAAACCCTGTGGTCAACGGCTCGCCGGTCTCCAGGCTCCGCGTTCTGTGTCCGAGTTAGAATCCTGTCAGCTGAGGACTCTCGGGAAAGGCTTCACCTTGAAAATCTCTGGGAGACTGGGTACGAGGGGGGTAAATGGCAAAACCGGACAGCGTGCGAAGACTCTGAGGGGACGCTCGTTTTGAAATGGCGCGCTTCCCTTTCTCGCTCCTTTTTTAGGGCCCTAGTGACTTGGAGCTTTCCGCTCCGACCCCTGGGGAGGAATTTTAGTGACCTTGAGGGATTTCCAACCTCCTTATTTTAAATCGAATCGGACCTAAGTCCAGGAGGGCCCGCCTCGTCCTCCTGACGAGGGAATCCCGTGTCAGGAAAATGTCCGGCGGCCGCACGGGGGTCTGCCCAGACCTCCTGCGGAGGGAGGCGTCGAGGGCGATCCGACCGCGCTGCTGCCCCCTCCAGAGGTAGCCTTAAACCCGGGGACGGGGCAGCCCTCCCTTAAATCCAACCGTTCAGTCCATCGACGGCTCCTTGAGAGATGGAGACAATCTTTTCACTTCATCACGGGGAGAAGAAGAGGATGATGTGCTTTTCTCTTCGATGGGGACAGTAAATGTGGAACTGGGGTGCTCATACATATAGCTAGCCATCCGAAGGACAGAATCCCAGAAGATCCCATCCAAACGGTCTCGGTTGCCTTCCATCCTTTGCTGTTTGCGGTGCTCGGTGGTCGGACCCTGCTTCTGCCTTAGTATTAATAGTCCGTGGCTGGGCGCGATGGTTCACGCCTGTAATCCCAGCACTTAGAGGCCCAGGCGGGCAGAGCACGAGGTCAGGAGATCGAGAACATCCTGGCCAACATGGTGAAACCCCGTCTCTGCTAAAATACAAAAAATCAGCTGGGCGTGGTGGCACTAGCCTGTAGTCCCAGCTAGTCGGGAGGCTGAGGCAGGAGAATCGCCAGAACCCAGGAGGCGGAGGTTGCGGTGAGCTGAGATCACTCCATTGCACTCCAGACTAGGCGACAGAGCTAGACTCCGTCTCAAAAAAAAAAAAAAAAAAAAAGTCCATTCCCTTTGTTCTAGGGTCCAACCCCTGACTTTGGTATCAAATGAGGAACTGGAATAGACCAAGGAAAATGACTCTTTGGATGGCATTTTATTGTAATAAGCACAATCACAGCTCGTGGATTCCTGAGATTTCTTTTTGAGTCTACAATGTTAAATCAAAGACTTTCACTGCTTTATCAGCTTTAATATTATGTATCCACCATATTTTTAAATCTTAACAAAATCGGCCCGGCACTGTGGCTCACGCCTGTAATCCCAGCACTTTGGGAGGTCGAGGCGGGTGGATAATGAGGTCAGGAGTTGGAGAGCAGCCTGACCAACATGGTGAAACCCATCTCTACTAAAAATACAAAAATTAACCGGGCAGGGTGGTGCGCACCTGTAATCCCAGCTACTTGGGAGGCTGAGGCAGAAGAATCACTTGAACCCAGGAGGCGGAGGTTGCAGTGGGCCGAGATTGTGCCACTGCACTCGAGCCTGGGTGACAGAGCAGGACTCCTCAAAAAAAAAAAGAAAAAAAAGAAAGAAACTAGTGAATACTGTGAAAGAAGGTATAGCTCATGTTCTATGAAACAAAAAGGTATTTATCAGCAGTATGAAAAGATTTTTAAAAAAGAAGTAAAAAGGTAGATGTTACAGGAGTATCCATTCATAATCACAGCAGGCAGGAAGGCATTCATCATAAATGAGAAAAATAAAATCCATTTATTGAGGACAAAGTTGGAGGTGCCAGGGAGGACACAAGGAAGAATGATATAATGTCAAGGTTCTTAGAATGTTGTTGTTAAACAAGAAAGGTTAAAAGCAATATGCAATTCTAAATAACATTTCAAGGCAATAATGAAGATATTACATAGTCATGACACAGGTGCTTAAGGGGCAAATTGGGGGGTAGTTTTTTTTTTTCTTTCCCCAACAGTGATCATTTATCAACTGATTTCCATTTGCACAGCTAATCATGACTATGTAATATCTTTATTATTGCCTTGAAATGTGAGGACAACACACACATACACACAAGAAATAATGCCACATGCGTTGCGGAAAGAAGATAGGCGGGCCTAGTCTTTCCAAGCTAAATACTTCTCTTCTAGTCCTTGGTGACTTTGAAATGAAATCAGAGGCCTCAGGACAAAGGACTGCTTTTTTTTTTTCCCACTCCCCTCTCCCCAGAGGACTACTTCTTAAATATATTTCTTATTTTCCCAGAAGCAATTATTTTTCTGTTGCTCACCTTTCAATATGAAGGAGGATCAGGTTGTGGAAGAACCAGGATTCCAAGATGAAGAGGTATGACTAGAAGGTTTAAAGATATGTAGACATTCAGTCATTCCACAAAAATCAAGTTCCTCCTCTATTAGTTACTGTTTTTAGAAACTAAAAGTAGAAATGACACATAGTTATATATTGCAAATATGTAACAACTTCTTTGGCAAGGACGCTAAGATTAGCTACTCAGCAACTGGTATGAAAGTATTTTAATAACTTAACAGCTGCTATGGCCATACTGGTACCTATACACAGTGATACCAAATAGCAGCCTTGTCCTAGAGCAGGGAGTTTAGGATCTGGAAGGGAAGAAGGTTGAGAAAACATTTAAAATAGGTCAAATGTTGTTCCAGTGTTTTGGGTAAAGGTTTCAAAATTTTAGGGAGGACATGACAAAGGTAACTGACTTCCAAGCCCTTTCAATATTGGTGCTTCTTCTAAGTATGTGTTTGAAAAACAGTATTGATCCTTCCTCAATCTGTCTAGAGAAGTGGAATTTGAGGCATTTTCAAGTGACTCATAGTATTGAATCACCTCTTTAAAAGATGTGAAATAGCTGGATATGAAGAATCAAAACTTCATTTTTTCTGTTTCATCTTCTTTAGGAATCTTTGTTTCAAGATATTGACCTGTTACAAAAACATGGAATTGTAAGTAGTTTTTCAATGCTGTGTTAAGTTGTCTGATTCAGGATTTCTCAGCATCAACCTTACGGACATTTGGGCCTGGATAATGCTTTTTTGCAAGGAGCTGTCCTGTGCATTGCAGGGCCTCTACTCACTCACTACAGTAGCACCCCTCCAGCTGTGACAACCAAAATATCTCCAGACATTGTCAAGTGTACCCAGAGGACAAAATTAAGTTCTATATGTCAGGTGACTGGAATAAATGATGTTGGCAGAAATCCAGACTTTGAATAACAAACTGGGTGGACTTTAACAGCAATCAGTTGATAGTAAAACTGTGCTGACATTATCTGTTGTAGCCCTCACATTTAATCTCTTTTAGTGGTTTTAGAAAATAGAAGCAAGAGAAAATCCTGTTCCTTTGGTGATGTAGTTATTTGCATTCTCCATAGGCAGAGGAAAAAAATCTTTAAAAATTTAAAAGAACATGTTGATAATGAAGTTCTGTAGAAGGAAGGAGCTGAACTGAGGGGGTGAATGTGTGATAAATTTGTTAGCTTTTCTACCAACAGACTCTTCTTTTGAGTTCCTTGTTACATTGCCATGGTCTCACTAACATTTTTGGGAAATCAGGGCACAGTCAGAACATTTGGCAGCCTGCTGAGTATGTTCTACTCAGATATTTCCAGAACATTTGGCTACATGGTGGGTGGATTCCACCTGGCTGCTTGTATAAAATTGGCATCATGGTGGAAGGAGATGGACACAGAAACACATGACATAGTATGGGAGCCTTTCAAGCTGGCATCATCAGTCTACTGTGCCCATTCTTTAATTTACAGAACATGGCTGACATTAAGAAACTGAAATCAGTAGGAATCTGTACCGTCAAAGGGATACAGATGACAACAAGAAGAGCACTATGCAATGTCAAAGGACTCTCAGAAGCCAAAGTGGACAAGATTAAAGAGGCAGCAAACAAACTAATTGTAAGCAAAATCCATTCTTTGCTATTTTAGCTTAGAAGGGCCTTGTGAATCTTTATAGGCTTTCTCATTATGAAAACTAGAAACTATTGTGGGAACTGCGTTCCCGTAGATCACAATATATTATACTCCCCATGTTAACTTTTTATCACTTCAGTTTCAAAGCAACAGCAATTAATTTCTGAAAGATGAAGGTAGGAATTAAGAGACCTAGAACACTAATGAAGGTAATTATTTTTGCCAAAACTTTTCTTTTTGTCTCCCTTTATATTACTTTTTCTGGCTGTCTCTGCCTTTCCTTCTTTTCATTTTTATTTATTTATTTATTTTTTTTTTTGAGGCGGAGTTTCGCTCTTGTTACCCAGGCTGGAGTGCAATGGCACGATCTCGGCTCACCGCAACCTCTGTCTCCTGGGTTCAGGCAATTCTCCTGCCTCAGCCTCCTGAGTAGCTGGGATTACAGGCACGTGCCACCATGCCTGGCTAATTTTTTGTATTTTTTTTAATAGAGACGGGGTTTCACCATGTTGACCAGGATGGTCTCAATCTCTTGACCTCGTGATCCACCCGCCTCGGCCTCCCAAAGTGCTGGGATTACAGGCTTGAGCCACTGCGTCCGGCTTCATTTTTATTTTTTACCTTCCTCTTCCTTAATTTTGTCTTGTCTCCTCAAATATCATACCTATGGCTGTGGGGAAGCACTCAGTACCAAAGAATTTGCTCTCTCCTGGTATAGGAGATTGATATATAGCCAATTGATAAGAGAGCACTGGATTAGAAAAAGACCAACAGTGGTTGAGTCTACATACGTGCAGTTGAGATAGATAGGACCAAGTGCTCACTGAAGCAGCTGAGCTAAACTAACCCATACTGATACAGGGCAAGTGAGCACCCCAAATTGGGGCTTAACCTGGGAGGGTTCTTAGCTTTGTCCAAGAGAGAATTCAAAGGTGAGCCAGTGGTATTGGACAACAGCTTTCATTGAAGCAGCCTAATACAGCAGCCACAGAGGTACTGCTCCTTACAGAGCAGGGCTACCCCATAGGCAGTATGCCCAAAAGTAGGAGCTCAGAGGCAATTTTGCCATTATAGTTATACCCACTTTTAATTACATGCAAATTAAGGGGCAGTTTATGCAGAAATTTCTAGGAAAAGAGTGGTAATTTCTGGATCATTGTGTCATTGCCATGGAAAGCAGCAGTAACTTCTAGGTGTTACCATAGCAATGGTAAACTGACATGGCACACTAGTGGGCATGCCTTATGGAAAGCTGCTTCTTTCTGCCCTGGACCCTGTTTTAGCTAGTTCTCAATTTGGTCTGGTGTCTGAGCCCCACTTCTGGAATCAAATCCCACCTCCTACCTTACTACTTTCTAGCAGGGCCCATGCAACTGCCAGGCTACCAGACAAAAGCATATGTACCTTTGACCCAAGCTTTTATGTAGAGCTTTTGGGAACCACTAGAGGTACGACCTCTGGAAATAGAAAAACAAAGAAAGGTAGTCACTAAGTCTTCCTCTTCATTTAATAGCTGGCCTCTCCATTTCTCTATCAGTATATAAGGGTCTCATTCTCAGCAAGTCTGAGAAGCTCTCTTCACCGACAGCCATTTGGTTTCCTTCTCCAGAAGTGGTCATGGCATGAGAGTGATGCAAGTGGCAGTGTGACCCTGAACCTGGAGAGGACCCAACTGAACTGAATTATTCTGAACCCAGCTCAGTTGCTCTAGCTTCTGAGTACACTCAAGTGGTGTGCCCACAAGTCAATTCCACAGCTGCCAAGGTGTTTAAGAAAGCCCTTGAGCAGCACCCAGGGTTTGGGAAACTGCTCTAAGACATTAGATTTACTTTCTTTGGAAATTAATTATCATTACCAAAGAACGCCTCTCCTTCTCAAGAACCCACTACTGCACCTAGAATCTTCTCCTTTCTTAGCTTAAACTGTTTAATTCTTTTTTATTTTTATTTTTTAAGAGAAGGGTATCAGGCTGAGTACAGTAGCTCACACCTGTAATACCAGCACTTTGGGAGGCTGAGGAAGGCAGATCATGAGGTCAGGAGTTCAAGACCAGCCTGGCCAACATAGTGAAACCCCATCTCTACTAAAAATACAAAAATTAGTCAGGCATGGTCGCGGGCGCCTGTAGTCCCAGCTACTCAGGAGGCTGAGGCAGGAGAATCGCTTGAACCTGGGAGGCGGAAGTTGCAGTGAGCTGATATCACGCCACTGCACTCCAGCCTGGGCAACACACCAAAACTCTGTCTCAAAAAGAAAAAAAAAAAGAAGAGTATCTCACTATGTTGCCCAGTCTGGGTTTAAACTCCTAGGTTCAAGTGATCCTCCCACCTCTGCTTCTGAAGTACATCGGACCACAGGAATGTGCCACTGTGCCCAGATGTATTTATTCATTTACTTTGAGACATGGTCTCACTCTGTCACCCAAGCTGGAGTACAGTGGCTCAATCACAGTTCACTGTGGGCTTGACCTCCTAGGCTCAAGTGATCCTCCCACCTCAGCCTCCAGAATAGCTGGGACTACAGGAACATGGTACCATGTCCAGCTAATTTTTAAAAAATTTTTTTAGAGATGAGGTATCTCTAAATATTCCTGGCATCAAACAGTCCTCCTACCTCAGCCTCTCAAAGTGCTGAGATTACAGGTGTGAGCCACTGCATCCAGTTGTTTATTGTTAAAGGTAGAGAAAGAGATTGAGAGAGAGAGATAGAGACAGAAAGAGAGAGAGGAGAGAAAGAAAGTAAGTTAACTTCATAGTATGGTGGTTCCAAACATTGATGTGTATCAGAATCACCTAGTTGTGGCTAATAAAGAAAACAGAGGCCCAGGCTCACTGAAGTAGGATAGGACCTGGGCTTGCCTGTCCGCATTCTCCAAGTCTCCAAACCGCAGTCATAGTATAAAACAACAGAGGGAAACACATTAGAACTGCATTGGGGCCCATTTCACTGGTCCTCCACTGCATCAGCTGTACCTTTTTAGTCAGTCAATAAGTAGTATATCTACCATGTGAAAAATATTGTCTCAAGAATAATGAAAACTGGGATTTCTGTGCTCCTTGAAACTTCTACAGCTAGAGAAAAAAAAAAAAATGATGCTGTTGGCCAGACATAATGGCTCACGCCTGTAATCCCAGCACTTTGGGAGGCTGAGGCAGGTAGATCACAAGGTCAAGAGATTGAGACCATCCTGACCAACATGGTGAAACCCCATCTCTACTAAAATACAAAAATTAGTCAGGCGTGGTGGCATATGCCCGTAGTCCCAGCTACTTAGGAGGCTGAGGCAGGAGAATTGCTGCTTGAAGCCATGAGTCAGAGGTTGCAGTAAGCCGAGATCACGCCACTGCACTCATCTGGTGACAGAACGAGACTCCATCTCAAAAACAAACAAAAAAAAATGATGCTGTTGAATGAAAAAAAATTGAATTGTTCAGTAAAATACCATCTGCTTTATGCGATAAATATATCTCATTTGGCTGGACATGGTGGCTCACACCTGTAATCCCAGCACTTTGGAAGACCAAGGTGGGTGGATCACCTGGGGTCAGGAGTTCAAGACCAGCTTGGCCAATATAGTGAAACCCCATCTCAACTAAAAATACAAAAATTAGCTGAGTGTGGTGGAAGATGCCTGTAATTCCAGCTACTCAGGAGGCTGAGGCAAGAGAATCGCTTGAACCCAGGAAGCAGAGATGGTAGTGATCCAAGATCACACTACTGCATTCCAGCCTGGGCAATAGAATGAGACCCATTCTCAAAATATACACATCTATATCATTTAATTTTCACAGCTACTCATTGAAGAAACATTGTTATACCTGTTTGATCCCTAAGAGGAAGCTTAAATACAGCAAGATTAAGTAGTTTACTCCATATAATACAACTCGTAAGTATTAGAAACATGATTTGCCTTAGAAAGGGCAGCTCTAAAGCCTATGTTCCCAACCATAATCTTGTACTGCCTTCAAGGACAAGTGAGTTGTAGCTTATACCAAACGATGACCTTAATAATCGAATATATCATTTTGGGCAACATTTGAAAAAAAAAAAAAAAAAAAAAAAAAACCATCATCTTAAACCCTTTCTGAACCTTTCCATTTATCTTTCTGTAGGAACCAGGATTCTTGACTGCGTTTGAGTATAGTGAAAAGAGGAAAATGATTTTCCATATCACCACCGGGAGCCAGGAATTTGAGTGTGTATCTTACATTCTTTATAACCACTAAGCACAATCTTTGGAATATCATGTTTCTTTTCCTCTTTCTGGTTATTTCTACTATAAGTAGTAGAAGTAGCTTCTTCATTTGAAGTTTGGGGGTTTTTTTTCTTCTTTTTCAAAATGCAAACTGAAACAAATTCCAGACTGCTTGGAGGAGCAAGAGTAAATGTCTTACGAGAAATTCAGACCCAAAACCTAGTTTCTGAATCAGCCTATATTAATCTCAAACCACTTTTAAAAATCAGTTTAACTTTTCATTTACTTTCTTTCTCCATTGATGAAGGTTTCATTGCACATTTTGGTTTTAGTCAAAAAGCAGTTGTTGGCCGGGAGCGGTGGCTCACACCTGTAATCCCAGCACTATGGGAGGCCGAGCCGGGCAGATCACCTGAGATCCCAGCACTTTGGGAGGTGGAGGCAGGCAGATCACCCAAGGTCGGGAGTTCAAGACCAGCCTGACCAACATGGAGAAACCTGTCTCTGCCAAAGATGAAAAAATTAGCTGGGTGTGGTGGCAGGCGCCTGTAATCTCCGAACTTTGGGAGGCTGAGGCGGGTGGATCATGAGGTCAGGAGTTTGAGACCAGCCTGGCCAACATGGTGAAACCCCTTCTCTACTAAAACTACAAAAAATTAGCTGGGTGTGACGTCATGTCTCAGCTACTTAGGAGGCTGACACAGGAGAATTGCTTGAAACCGGGAGGCAAGGCTGTAGTGAGCTGAGATTGTGCCACTGCACTCCAGCCTGGGTGACAGAACAAGATTCTATCTCAAAAAAAAAAAAAAAATAGCCGGGTGTGGGGCCGGGTGCGGGGCTGGGCGCTGTGGCTTACACCTGTAATCCCAGCACTTTGGGAGGCCGAGGCTGGCGGATCATGAGGTCAAGAGATCAAGACCATCCTGGCCAACATGGTGAAACCCCGTCTGTACTAAAAACACAAAATTTAGCTGGGTGTGGCAGTGCGCGCCTGTAGTCCCAGCTACTCGGGAGGCTGAGGCAGGAGAATCGCTTAAAAAAACGGGAGGCGGAGGTTGCAGTGACGCGAGATCGCGTCACTGCACTCCAGCCTGGCAACAGAGCAAGACTCCCACTCAAAAAAAAAAAAAAAAAAAAAATTAGCCCGGTGTGATAGCACCTGCCTGTAGTCCCAACTACTCAGGAGGCTGAGGCAGGAGAATCACTTGAACCCAAGAGGCGGAGATTGCAGTGAGCTGAGATTGCACCACTGCACTGCATCCTGGGCAACCAGAGGGAGACTCCGTCTGAGGGAAAAAAAAAAAAAAAAAGGAAGCAGATGCGGTGGCTCATGCCTGTAATCCCAACACTTTGGGAGGCCAAGGAGGGCAGATCACCTGAAGTTGGGAGTTCAAGACCAGCCTGACCAACATGGAGAAACCCAGTCTCTACTAAAAGATACAAAATTAGCCGGACGTGGTGGCACATGTCTGTAATCCCCGCTACTTGGGGGGACTGAGGCAGGAGAATTGCTTGAACCTGGGAGGTGGAGGTTGCACCTGGTGAGCCCAGATCGTGCAATTGCACTCCAGCCTGGGCGACAAGAGTGAAACTCCATCTCCAAAAAAGGGGAAAAAAAAGAAAAGAAAAAACAATTTTACCCTGAGTTCATAGTTGACAATTGTTGAAGCTGAGTGATAGACATGATGGTTCATTATATTGTTTTTGTCTATGTTTGTTTATGCTTGATATTTTCTATAATAAAAGATTAATACATAAACGTTGGGGTTTTTTTGTTTGTTTGTTTTGTTTTTGGGGGAGACAGAGTTTTGCTCTATCGCCAGACTGGAGTGCAGTGGCTCGATCTTGGCTCACTGCAATCTCCAACTACTCGGCTCAAGCAATTCTCTTGCCTCAGCCTCCCAAGTAGCTGGGATTACAGGCGTCTCCCACCACACCCAGCTGATTTTTGTATTTTTAGTAGAGATGGGGTTTCACCATGTTGGCCAGGATGGTCTCTATCTCCTGACCTCGTGATGAGCTCACCTCGGCCTCACAAAGTTCTGGGATTACCGGCATGAGCCATCCACTGCCTCCAGCCTAATTCAACTATTTCTTACAACCTCTATTGTTACCTCACTGGACTAAACTGCCACCTATTAAGATCTCCCCTAGATTATTATAATAACCTCTAGTTAACCTCCCTCGTTGAGACCATGCCTCTACTGTTTTTTTTAATTCACAAAAGAGCCAGATTGGTCATTTTAAAACATAGGTTTCGCTGGAGTGCAGTGGCCCGTAACACCCTAATGATTCCCCGTCTCACTGTATGTTCGTTGTATGCTGTCAAAATCTGACAGTTATCCTTCTAACTGCTAGCATTACCTCCTAGCATATTTTCATAACATCTTTGAACATTTTCTATTCTGACATGTTCTCCATAAAATTTGGTTAATGTGAGATAACCTGACCATAATGACAATCACTGGATTCTCCTAATACCTGTTTTGCAGTATCTTAAAAATTAAAGCCAGGCGGGCCGGGCACGGTGGCTCATGCTTGTAATCCCAGCACTTTGGGAGGCCTAGGCGGGTGGATCATGAGGTCAAGAGATCGAGACCATGCTGGTCAACATGGTGAAACCCTGTCTCTACTAAAACTACAAAAAACCAGCTGGGCATGGTGGTGCGTGCCTGTAATCCCAGCTACTCAGGAGGCTGAGGCAGGAGAATTGCCTGAACCCAGGAGGCGGAGGTTGCGGTGAGCCGAGATTGCGCCATTGCGCTCCAGCCTGGATAAAAAGAGCGAAACTCCGTCTCAAAAAAAAAAAAAAAAAAAAAAAAAAAATTAAAGCCACCATGATGGCTTATGCCTATAATTCTAGCACTTTGGAAGGCAGAGGCGGGCAGATCACTTGAGCCTCAGGAGTTTGAGACCAACCTGGGCAACAGAGCAAGACCCCAGCTGTACAAAAAAATAAAAATTTAGCCCGGTTTCAGGCAACAGAACAAGATCCTGTCTCAAAAAAAGAAAAAGAAAAGAAAAAATATTGAAAATTCAGTTGACTTTTAGAAACATAGTTCCAGCACAATATTAAACACTCAATTTAATATCAGACAGGCTAGACGCTGTGGCTCATGCCTGTAATCCCAGCACTTTGGGAGGCCAAGGCAGGCAGATCACCTAAGTTCAGGAGTTTGACACAGGCCTGGCCAATGTGGTGAAACCCCATTTCTACTAAAAATACAAAAATTAGCCAAGCATGGTGGCAGGCACCTGTAATCCCAGCTACTTGGGAGGCCGAGGCAGGTTAATCTCTTGAACCTGGGGGGCGGAGTTTGCAGTGAACCAAGATCACGCCACTGCACTCTAGCCTGGGCAACAGAGTGAGACTCTCTTTTGAAATAAATATATGTAATAATAATAATAGCTAAGACGATCTGTAACTCCAATTTGATTCTAAAGATTAGTAAGACATAAAGCCTTGCTAACCCATTTACTATTTTTAATTTTTTTTCTTAAAAGAATTTTTTGTTATTTTTAAGCCTACAACATGCAATATTCCCAGGCCCCATTTATTATTGAAATAAGAATGGCAGAGCTTATCATTTGTTTTGCTGATCCACTTCCCCATACATAACAGAACCTGTGATCTGCACAGGTGGCATGCTATTTATTAGCCAAGAATTCCTGTTCATGTTCTGTAGATAGATAGATAGATGATAGGTTAGATAGACAGACAGATAGGATAGTAATGATATGAATACTTTCTCCTCCCTTAATATTTTCTATTCCTGTTCCTGTTACTAATGCTTTCTTTCTATTTCCAGTAAGTTGCTAGGAGGTGGAATTGAAAGCATGGCAATTACAGAAGCTTTTGGAGGTAGGTAGAACCTTAATATTTTGTTAAATGAAATTTTATACACCCACACACACATCTATGTGTATACGTACACATATAATTAAATAATCAATAATAAATTGTACCTATTTTGGAATTTAAAAATCTCAATTATCATGAGATCATTCTGTACTGCAACAAAAATATATACCAACATTAACAGATGGGTCTTATCGACACTTTTCTTCTTTTTTTTTTTTTTGAGACAGCCTTGCTGTGTCACCAGGCTGGAGTGCAGTGGTGCGATCTCGGCTCACTGCAACCTCCACCTCCTGGGCTCAAGCGATTCTTCTGCCTCCCTAGCAGCTAGGACTACAGGCACATGCCCCCACACCCAGCTAATTTTTGTATTTTTAGTAGAGACAGGGTTTAACTATGTTGGCCAGGATGGTCTTTATCTCCTGACCTCGTGATTTGCCTGCCTCAGCCTCCCAAAGTGCTGGGATTACAGGTGTGAGCCACCACGCCGGCCACTTTTCATCTTTTTTTTGTGATTTCTATAGAAGATAATGGGTTTTTTTTTCACATATTTTTTCAAAAGGTAATTGAAGAATAAAGCTGATTTTATTTCTAGGCAATTAATGTTCCATGGACATAGAGATTAGATTCTCTCTTCCCTGATTATGTCCTCTATTTTTTTTTTTTTTTTTGAATAATAGATACAGGGTCATGCTATGTTGCTCAGGATGGTCTCAAACTCCTGGACTCAAGCAATCCTCCTGCCTCGACCTCCCAAAGTGCTGGGATTACAGGCATGAGCCACTGTACCCATCCTAGCCTCTATTTTTAAAAAGCAATTCATGCATAGCTACAGAGTGTATCATATCTGACAAATCCAGTATTTGCTCTCCTTGGAGAGCTAAATCTGTTTTTTGTTGTTTTTTTCCTGTTGACTTGGGCACTAAATCTGGTTCTCATTATTTCTGTTGACTCAATCTTAGTGGCTTACCTTCTTCTGTATTTATTGGTGTTTCTGAGCTTATTGTTTGATTTTAATCTATGAGAGTTCAATGGACCTAGACTGGTAAGTAGGAAAGTTTTCCTCCAGAAAGAATTTGCTTTTGCTGGTAGCTAGGGGATGGCACCAATTTGAGACTACTTCAGCTCCCCTGTGAGGACCTCAGTTCAGTAGGGAAGCCCCAGGCTTTCTTTCCTGTGGTAGGGTTGTTTTTGTTTTTGTTTTTGTTTTGAGATAGAGTCTCACTCTGTCTCCCAGGCTGGAGGGCAGTGGTGCCATCTTGGCTCACTGCAATCTCTGCCTCCCAGGTTCAAGCAATTCTGCCTTAGCCTCTCAAGTAGCTGGGATTACAGGCACCTGCCACCACACCAGGCTAATTTTTGTTTTATTGAAGGAGGGGGTTGTGGGAAGGCAGAAAGATGGAGTCTCATTTGGTTGCCCAGGCTGGAGTCCAATGGTGCGATCTTGGCTCACTGCAACCTCCACCTGCCAGGTTCAAGCAATTCTGCCTTAGCCTCTCAAGTAGCTGGGACTACAGGCACATGGCCACCACACCCAACTAATTTTTTTGTGTTTTAGCAAAGACGGGGGTTTCACTATGTAGCCCAGGCTGGTCTTGAACTCCTGAGCTCAGGCAATCCGCCCACCTCGGCCTCCCAAAGTGCTAGGATTACAGGCCGCTGCGCCTGGCTTATTTTTGCATTTTTGGTAGAGATAGGGTTTTGCCATGTTTGCTATGCTAGTCTTGAACTCCTGACCTCAAGTGATCCACCCATCTCAGCCTCCTAAAGGGCTGGGATTACAGGTGTGAGCCACTAAGCTTCACCCCATGTGGCAGGGTCTTAACTTTCATTTATATGACTGTTCCTAAGGTAAACTGGGTTTAAATTAATTTATATTAAACAAATAAGTCCGGGCGTGGTGGCTCATTCCTCTAATCCTAGCATTCAGGCAGATCACCTGAGGTCAGGAGTTTGAGACCAGCCTGGCCAATATGGTGAAACCCCGTCTCTACTAAAAATACAAAAATTAGCCAGGCATGGTGGTGGGCGCCTGTAATCCCAGCTACTTGGGAGGCTGAATCAGGAGAATCATTTGAACCCGGGAGGCGGAAGTTGCAGTGATCTGAGATCAGGCCATTGCACTCTAGCCTCAACAACAGAGCGAGACTTCATCTCAAAACAAAAAATAACACCCAGGATACTTTATAAGTAAGATTTGACAGTTGGAAAAGAAAACAGTAATATTCTGAGGCCATGTTTTATTCTTTATGAAAATATCTAAAAATTATGCATTTTTTAGAATCTTTTTTGTATTTCACAGAATTTCGTACTGGAAAAACCCAGCTCTCTCATACCCTCTGTGGTAAGGATATATAACAATAACAGTAATAATCATAACTATTATTTATCAAACATCTACTATGTGCTTGATACTCTAATCTCATATAATCTGAACAGGCTTGCAAGGAAACTAAAACACAGGCAGATTAAGTAAACTGCCCGTGGTTATACAGCTGGTCTTTGAAATGTGTGATGTTTGAGGTGATGTATGTGCTGGACTATGAACACCTGAGAAGAAATAGAAGTTAAATGGGTCTATGAATGTGTTGGTGAGGAGTCCACTGTCTCAATTTTTCTCATTTCATCTTTTCTATATCTTTTTTAAAAGAGTGACACAAAATCTATGGGGTGCTAGAATCTTCCACTTTTCATTGCGTAAGGTTGGCCCTAAGAGAGATTTAAAAACAAAATTGTTTTAAACAAAATGAGTAAAGATATCTCCTTTTCCATAAGGCACTACTATGCATTTCTTTGACCTATGGAGAAGGAACTTGGCAAAGTGGTTAAGAAAGGGGTTCTGGAATCAAAATGCCTGACTCCAATCCTGGTTCTGTCATTAGTAGATGTGTGACCTTGAGCAAGTTTCTCTACTTCCCTAATTTCCCCCATCAATAAAATTGAAATGATAGTGCCAAATCTTAGGATTGTCTTGAAAAGTAAATGAAATAATGTATATACCTGGTATAAAGTAGCTCTTTAGTGTTAACTACTACTACCTAAAAAGTAAATGCAGCTGGGCACAGTGGTATACGTCTGTAATCCCAGCACCTAACCCTGGGAGGATCTCCTGAAGTCCGGAATTTGATACCAATCTGGCCACCATGTCTCTACCAAAAAATACAAAAGTTAGCTGGGTCTGGTTGCATGTGCCTGTTGGGGAGGAGGCTGAGGTAGGAGAATCACTTGAACCCGGGAGACAGACGTTGCAGTGAACCAAGATCATGCCACCATGCTCCAGGCTGGGTGACAAAGTGAGACCTGTCTCAAAAAAAAAAAAAAAAAAAAAAAAAGCATTTTTATGATTTTTGTTTAGTTAAACCTGTGAGTTAAATGTTTTTTCTTTTCTAAGTCAAACCATAAATGCATTTTTAAAATTTTACGTATATTAATTGAAAGGTAACTTAGTTACATAGCAAAAATTATATTTGTGACTTTTTTTTTTTGAGATGGAGTCTTGCTCTGTCACCCAGGCTAGAGTGCAGTGGCACGATCTTGGCTCACGCAACCTCTGCCTCCTGGGTTCAAGCAATTCTCCTGCCTCAGCCTCCAGAATACCTGGGGCTACAGGTGTGCACCATTACGCCTGGCTAATTTTTTAGTAGAGATAGGGTTTCACCATGTTGGCCAGACAGGTCTTGAGCTCCTGATCTCAAATGATCCACCCACCTCGGCCTCCCAAAGTGCTGGGATTACAGCCATGAGCCACCATGCCTGGCCATATTTGTGGCTATTTCTTATAGGAAGAAAGTAATATTTAAATTCTATTTCCATTATTTGGGAGAACTAACTTTTACGAATATCTTCCATTGTGAAAGATAGTAAAATTATTTGTTGAATTGCTACGATGCTGGCAGAATACTTTTAATTTCACCACTGGTTAAGTAATATGAAAATATGACATGTTGTTTAGAAACGAAAGGATAATGACTCTTTGCAAAATGTACTAGAGAGTTGCAACAGCAGATTCCATGTTTATTTATATAGTCATTTGTACAAAGTTTATTCACTCCTATTAATATTAATTTTTATATGCTTCCTAGTGACAGCTCAACTTCCAGGAGCTGGTGACTACCCAGGAGGAAAGATCATCTTCATTGATACAGAAAATACTTTGTAACCTTTTTAATTAAAGTTGCTAAAGTAATAGTGTGATATAGGAATGTTACCAAGAAAGAGTTTGTCTGAGATATACCATCTTTGTAGTCATCCCATAAACCAGCAATAATGAGACAAGCCAAAGGGAAAACAATTACTGGTTAAGTTCTCAAACCACTTTTTCTTTAATAAGGTTTCACTTCTTCATATAAGTTTATGAGACAAAACAAATACATGAGAGAAAATTACATGGTCTTCATTTTTAATCCTCTTCTCTAAAGATTTTTCTTAACAGAAAGAAGTTGTTTTTTTTTTTTTTTTTCCTTGAGACAGAGTCTTGCTCTGTTGTCCAGGCTGGAGTGCAATGGGGAGAACTCAGCTCACTGCAACCTTCATCTATTCAAGCAATTCTCCTGCCTCAGCCTCCTGAGTAGCTGGGATTGTTCAAGCAATTCTCCTGCCTCAGCCTTCTGAGTAGCTGGGATTACAGGCATGTGCCACCACATCTGGCTAATATTTTTGTATTTTTAGTAGAGATAAGGTTTCGCCATGTTAACCAGGCTGGTCTCAAATTCCTGACCTCAGGTGATCCACCTGCCTTGGCCTCCCAAAGTGCTAGGATTACAGGTGTGAAGATTATTGACTCACTGAAAGTCATGGTTCCAAATAAAGGGAAAGGTCTCAAGAGGGCAAAAGTTCATAAGGAAAACAGGCAGAACCTGAAAGGATTGCACTTTAATTCAAGTGTAAGGTATTCCAGGATATGGGCTAGAAAGATGATTGGAATCTTAGACATGAAAGGCTTTCAAACAAGATAGTCGATGTAAATTGGATACTTTAGCAATATTCTAGGCAAGTCATGAGAACTTGATCTAGGTTGGAAGTGTCAAGAACAAAAAGAAAAGGAAAATAAATATTGGAGAGGAAAATTGATAGGACTTGATGGCTGTATTTGGTAGACAAAGGAAAGAGAGGTTTGATAAGCCACTCAGATTTTTTGTCTAGACACTGGGAGAATAGTGATGCAATGCTAACAATAGAACTGGGAAGATCATGTTTCAGAGAAAAGGTGATGTTTCATTTTAATGTACGAATTTTACTTTTTTTTGAGACAGAGTCTTTCTCCATCGCCCAGGCTGGAATGCAGTGATACAGTCTCAACACACTGCAACCTCCGCCTCCCAGGTTCAAGCTATTCTCATGCCTCAGCCTCTCCCAAGTAGCTGAGATTACAAACCTGCAGCACCACGCCTGGCTAATTTTTTGTATTTTTAGTAGAGACAGGGTTGCATCATGTTGGCCAGGCTGGTCTTGAACTCCTGACCTCAAGTGATCCACCCACTTTGGCCTCCCAAAATGCTGGAATTACAGTTGTGAGCCACCACACAGAGCCTAATTGTTTTTTCTTTTTTTGAAACAAGATCTCACTCTGTTGCCCAGGCTGAAGTGAATTGGCCCAATTACACTCACTGCAGACTCGAATTCCCAGGGTCAAGTGATCTTCCCACCTCAGCCTCCTGAGTAGCTGCAACTACAGACCCATACCACCATGCCTGGCTAATTTTTTTTATCTTTCGTAGAAACCAGGTTTTGCCATGTTGCCCAGGCTGATCTCCGACTCCTGGGCTCAAACAATCTGCCTACCTTGGCCTCAGAAAGTACTGGGATTACAGGCATGAGCCACTGTGCCCAGCCTTCATTTTAATGTACTGAATATGATGTACATGAGGACATCCAGATAGCAGTTGGAAGTATTGAATTCAGCTTGAGAAAGGGGTAGGGCCAGAGATATCAATGAACCAAGTGGGTAAGAGAACTTGTAGAGAGAGAAGAGAGAACTGAGAACATAACTTTGAAGTATGTTTATATTTAGGAAGAGGACTAAAATGAGGAACCCAGAGACAGAGGAAGTAGAAGGAAATCTGGAACTCTGGAACCCAGAGACAGAGGAAAAGTCAAGCAAAAGGAAAGTTTCAAGATGAAAAGAATAGTCAGCAATGGTACACACAGATTTTGAGGGTGAAGCCTGAGAAAGTTCGCTAAAGTTCAAAATTAGGAGTTCAGTCGAACATGTGCTATAGGGTGAGGTGATAGAAACTTTTTGTAAATAATAAGGGGCCAGGCGCAGTAGCTCACGCCTATAGTCCCAGTACTTTGGGAGGCTGAGGTGGGCGGATCATGAGGTCAGGAGCTCAAGACCAGCCTGGCCAACATAGTGAAACCCCATCTCTACTAAAAATACAAAATTTTGCCAGGCATGTTGGTGGGTGCCTGTAATCCCAGCTGCTTGGGAGGCTAAGGCAGGATAATTGCTTCAGCCTGGGAGTCGGAGGCTGCAGTGAGCCGAGATCCCGCCATTGCACTCCAGCCTGGGTGACAGCAAGATTCCGTCTCAATAAATAAATAAACAAATAAACACACAATAAGGGAGGGAGGCAGTATGAAATTGACCCATGAAAGGAAGATCAACTATACTAGTTTGAGGAGGTATTCAGATGAAATTCTTTTTAATAACAACAAAGACCTGCACGTTTGTAAAGCCATTCACAGTGAAGCCCCAGCCTGCCTCTCCAAGCTCATTACTTACCATTGTCATTATTAGAGGCAAAGAGCTGAATCTGTTTTAGTCCATCCCACTGCCTGTAAATATGCTTTGTTATCAAAATTTTAACATATGTCTGGTCTCACTCCAGTAATCCCAGCACTTCGGGACACCAAGACAGGAGGATCACTTGAGGCCAGGAGTTCAAGACCAGCCTGGGCAACATAGTGTTTCTATGAAAAAAATTTTAAATTAGCTGGGTGTTGTGGCTATGAATCCCAGCTACTTGAAAGGCTGAGGCAGGAGGATCATTTGAGCCCAGGAGTTCATGATTAGCTTGGGCAACATAGCAAGACTGTCTCTGCCAAAAAAAAAAAAAAAAATCTAAAAACATTGTACATCAGCAGTTATTTAGATTTACCTAAAAAGACTTTTGCAGGGCTGGGTGTGGTGGCTCACACCTGTAATCCCAGCACTCTGGGAGGCTAAGAAGGGTGGATCCTCTGAGGTCAGGAGTTCGAGACCAGCTTAGCCAACATGGTGAAACCCAATCTCTACTAAAAATACAAAAAATTAGCCAGGCGTGGTGGTGGGCAGGCATCTGTAATCCCAGCTACTCAGGAGGCTGAGGCAGGAGACTTGCTCGAACCCGGGAGGCAGAGATTGCAGTGAGCCAAGATCTGGCCATTGCACTCCAGCCTGGGCTACAAGAGCGAAACTCATTCTCACACAAAAAAAAAAACCCGATCAGCCGAGCGGCGTGGTGCTGCCAAAAAAAAAATTTTTTTTGTTATCTTTGTTATGGTTTCTTACATCCCAAATGTTATTTTTTTCTGTATTTTTGTTTTGCTGGAATACTTATTTCTTTCAGAAATGTAATCCAGGTGGCTAACTTTGAACCTTAGTGTATCTGCAAGTGCCTTTATTTTGCGCTCACTCTTGGCTGTTAATTTGACTGGTCACAGAGAAATTTGCATTGTATATTTCTATCTTCTTGGGTATTTGCTTCTTCCGTCCCCATCTCACAGTCTTTCTGAATCACACAAATCCTTTAAGGCTCTCATTTCAATGCAGGCTTTTTCTAATCTTCCCTAATTACTAAATTTAGAAAATCTTGTCCTTCTTGACCTATGATAGAATTTACTATCTAAAATACTCACTTAGAAAACCAAACAGAGAACTGTTTGCAGAAGTCTTTATTCAGAAATGCCAGGCATGAGAAGATTCTGAAACAGCCTTTTAACTTGGGGAAGAAGGGTGAAATGTTGTATAGGGCTTTAACAAGGGGCCTCAGCTGGAGTTCTGCTGGTTTCAGAAACAATTGATTACGGATGATTCTCATCTCAGGGAAGAATTGTTCTTGCAGTTTAGCAGCCACTCGTTTGGGCAATCTGGATTTTATCAAGAACGATAGAATAGTTGGGAGCTAAGTCATATGCAAGAGAGAGTGAAGAAAACAGCTGGGTGGGAGTGCGGGGCACTGTGGCAAGGATCACATCTGAATGTTCTCATTCTTTCAGTGTTTCATACTTATACTGCTGTCTGTTGATATTTTTATTTTTATATGTTTATATTTTGCCTCCTTAATTATGTTTTAAATTTACCTAGGGCATAGGTTGTCTTATGACTCCTTATATCCTCCATAATGATTTGCCTTGGTAATTGGTTAATATGGTAATCAATTCCATATGGTAATTGGTTAATAAATATTTATAATTGATCTGAACTTCCCTTCAGCATAAGCCCAAATATTTCATTTAAAATTTTTTTATTTTGTTTTGTTTTCGAGACAGGGTCTTGCTCTGTCACCCAGGCTGGAATGTAGTGACACGATCATGGGTCACTGTAGCCTTGACATCCAGGACTCAAGTGATTCTCCCACTTCAGCCTCCCAAGTAACTGGGACTACAGGCGCGTGCCATCATGCCCAGCTAATTTTTGTATTTTTTTGGTAGAGACAGGGTCTCACCATGTTGCCCAGGCTCACCAGGAGCTCAGGAGCTCCAACTCCTGAACTCAAGTGATCCTCCCACCTGGGCCTCCCAAAGTGCTGAGATTATAGGCATAAGTCACCATGCCTAGTTTTGTTATTGCCTGTCTTGTATAAAAGCCATATTAACTGGGGCGAGATGATATTTCACTGTTTTGATTTGCATTTCACTGATGATCAATGACATTGAATACCTTTTCATATATCTATTTGCCATTTGTATGTCTTCTATGAACCCAGAAAATCTGAGACAGGTCTCAGTTAATTTAGAAAGTTTATTTTGGCAAGGTTGAGGATGCGCCTGTGACACAGTCTCAGGAAGTCCTGATGGCGTGTCCCCAAGGTGGTCGAGGCACAACTTGATTCTATACATTTCAGGGAGACGTGAGACATCAATCAATATATGTAAGAAGAACATTGGTTCAGTCTGGAAAGGCGGGACAACTTGAAGCAAAGGCAGGAAGACTCAAAGTGGGAAGTGGGCTTCCTGGTCACAGATAGGTGAGAGAGACACAAATGGTTGCATTCTTTTGCGTTTCTGATTAGCCTTTCCAAAGGAGGCAATCAGATATGCATCTATCTCAGTGAGCAGAGGAGTGACTTTGAATAAAGAATGAAAGGCAGGTTTGCCATAAGCAGTTTCCAGCTTGAGTTTTCCTTAGAGATTTTGGGAGCCCAAGGTATTTTCCTTTTACACTTCTTGTGAGAAATGTCTTTTCAGATCTTTTGCCCATTTTAAAATAAGATTATTAGATTTTGGCCGGGCGCGGTGGCTCAAGCCTGTAATCCCAGCACTGTGGGAGGCCGAGGCGGGTGGATCACGAGGTCAAGAGATCGAGACCATCCTGGTCAACATGGTGAAACCCCGTCTCTACTAAAACTACAAAAAATTGGCTGGGCATGGTGGCACGTGCCTCCCAGTTACTCAGGAGGCTGAGGCAGGAGAATTGCCTGAACTCAGGAGGCGGAGGTTGCGGTGAGCCGAGATCGCGCCATTGCACTCCAGCCTGGGTAACAAGAGCGAAACTCCGTCTCAAAAAAAAAAAGAAAAAAAAAAAAAGATTATTAGATTTTGTTCCTATAGAGTTGTTTGAGTTTTTTATATATTCTGATTATTAATCCCTTGTCAGATGGATAGTTTGGAAATATTTTCTCCCATTCTGCGGGTTTTCTCTTCATCTTGTTGATTGTTTCCTTTGCTGTTCAGAAGCTTTTTCACTTGATGTGATACCATTTGTCCATTTTTGTCATGGTTGCCTGTGCTTGTGTTGTATTACTCAAGAAATCTTCACCCAGTCCTGTAGAGTTTCCCCGATGCATCCTTTTAGTAGTTTCATAGTTTGAGGTCTTAGATTTAAGTCTTTAATCCATTTTGATTTGATTTTTTATATGGTGGGAGAGAGGAGTCTCATTTCTTTCTTCTGCATATGGATATCCAGTTATTCCACCACCATTTACTGAAGAGACTATCCTTTCCCCAATGTATGTCCTTGACACCTTTGTCAAAAATTAGTTCACTTTAGGTCTGTGGATTTGTTTCTGGGTTTTCTATTCTGTTCAATTGGCCTGTGTGTCTGTTTTTATGCCCATACCATGCTGTTTTGGTTACTATAACTCTGTAGTATAATTTGAAGCTGGGTAATGTGATTCCTCCAGTTTTGTATTTTTAGTACTTAAGATAGCTTTGGCTATTCTGGGTCTTTCGTGGCTCCACATAAATTTTAGGATTGTTTTTCTATTTCTCTGAGGAATGTCATTGGTATTTTGATAGGAATTGCACTGACTCTGTAAATTGCTTTGGGTAGTATGGACATTTTAATAATACTGATTCTTCTGTCTCATGAACATGGAATATCTTTCTGTTTTTTGTGTGTTCTCTTCAATTTCTTTCATCAATGTTTTATAGTTTTCATTGTAGATATCTTTCACTTCTTTGGTTAATTTCTAGATATTTAATTTTATTTGTAGCTATTGTAAATGGGATTAATTTTTAAACTTCTTTTTCAGATTGTTCACTGTTGGTATTTAGAAATGCTACTGATTTTTGTATGTTAATTTTTTATCCTGCAGCTTAACTGAATTTGTTTATCAGTTCTAATAGTTTTTTGAGTGAGTCTAGGTTTTTCCAAATATAAGGTCTTATTATCAGCAAACAAGGATAATTTGACTTTTTCCTTTTCAATCTGGATGCCCTTTATTTATTTCTCTTGTCTGATTTCTCTAGCTAGGAATTCCAGTACTATGTTGAATAACAGTGGCAAAATGGGCATACTTGTCTTGTTCCAGATCTTAGAGGAAAGACTTTCAGTTTTTCCCTATCCAGTATGATACTAGCTGTGGGTCTGTTGCATATGGCTTTTATGTTGGGGTATGTTCCTTCTATACCCAATTTTTTGTTTTGTTTGAGACAGAGTCTCATTCTGTTGCCAGGCTGGAGTGTGCTGATGCAATCTAGGCTCACTGCAACCTCCACCTCCCAAGTTCAAGTGATTCTCCTGCTTCAGCCTCCCAAGTAGCTGGGACTACAGGTGCTCACCGCCACACCCAGCTAATTTTTGTATTTTTAGTAGAGACCATGTTGGCCAGGATGGTCTTGATCACTTGACCTCGTGATTCGCCCACCTTGGCCTCCCAAAGTGCTGGGATTATAGGCATGAGCCACCATGCCCAGCCCATACCCAATTTTTTTGAGGTTTTTTTTATCATGAAGGAATGTTGAATTTTTTATTAAATGCTTTTTCAGCATCAATTGAAATGATACATTTTTTGTCCATTCTGTTGATATATCACATTGATTTGTGTTGAACCATCCTTGCATCCCTGAGTTGAATTCCACTTGGTCATGATAAATGATCTGTTTAATGTGTTGTTGAATTTGGTTTCCTAGTATTTTGTTGAGGATTTAAGCCCAATTTTTACACCGCTGGTCACACTGTTCCCAGACCAACTGAGGGTCAGTGTGCTTATTCTCACAGCCCAATAATGAGATACAGATGAACTGGGAAAGGAAGGAGTTTTTGTTTCTTTTTTTTTTTTTTTTTGGCGGGGGGACGGAATTTCGCTCTTGTTACCCAGGCTGGAGTGCAATGGCGCGATCTCGGCTCACCGCAACCTCCGCCTCCTGGGTTCAGGCAATTCTCCTGCCTCAGCCTCCTGAGTAGCTGGGATTACAGGCACGCACCACCATGCCCAGCTAATTTTTTGTATTTTTAGTAGAGACGGGGTTTCACCGTGTTGACCAGGATGGTCTCGATCTCTTGACCTCGTGATCCACCCGCCTCGGCCTCCCAAAGTGCTGGGATTACAGGCTTGAGCCACCGCACCCGGCCCTGGAGTTTTTGTTTCTATAACCCGTTACAGGGAGAAGACCTGGAAAATAACACCAAACCAACTCAAAATTACAAAGTCTTCCAGAGCTTATATCCCTTCTAAACTATATGTCTACATATAAGTGTGCATTCATCTAAATACGTAAGTCACTTTGGGAGGCCAAGGTGGGCAGATCACTTGAAGCCAGGAGTTTGAGACCAGCCTTGCCAACATGGTGAAACCTCATCTCTACTAAAAATACAAAAATTCAGTCATAACTTTGCAAAGAAAAAAAAATTTTTTAATTAAAAAGAAAAAAGATTAAAAATGCAAAAATTAGCCAGTCATAGTGGCAAATGCCTATAGTCTCAGCTACTCACAATACTGAGGCAGGAGAATCACTTGAACCTGGGAGGCATAGATTGCAGTGAGTTGAAATTGAGTCACTGCACTCCAGCCTGGGCAACAGAGCAAGACTCCATCTCAAAAAATATATAAAATAAATTTAAAAAAAAGAAATAAGTGATTAACTTCTTTTAATCTGTAACTAAGATCTGAGTCCTAAAGACCTTTCTCTGGAGCCTCAGTAAATTTCCTTAATCTAAATGGGTCCAGGTGCTGGGGTGATTACCCTTATCTCCTGCTAAATCATGGAGGTTTGGAGAGTTCCTTCAGACCCCCAATAAACTTGTTTGTGGAGACCTGGGGAGTTTGTTCAGACTCCCAATAAAATGTGTTTGTTTGTTGGTTGTTTTTTTTCCTATGAATTTGTTAATTTCAGAAAGCTAACAACTCCTGGCCAGGCATGGTGGCTCATGCCTGTAATCCTAACACTTTGGAAGGCTGAGGCAGGCAGATCATTTGAGGTCGGGAGTTCAAGACTAGCCTGGCCAACATGGCGAAAACATGTCCACTAAAAATACAAAAATTAGCTGGGTATGGTGTCTCGCGCCTATAATTCCAGCTACTCAGGAGACTAGAGGGGGAGAACTGTTTGAACCTGGGAGGCAGAGGTTGCAGTGAGCCGAGATCATGCCACTGCACTCCAGCCTGGACAACAGAGCAAGACTCTGTCTCAAAAAAAAGCTAACAACTCCTTTAGAAGAAGGTAGATTTTAAACTCTATATTTTCCAGGTAAGATTTGAAAAGAAAAAGAAAACCTATACAAACAAAAAAGCTTGGATTGATATTTCTCTTCTGGACCCTTGAAGTTATCATTTTGACCCTTTGGTTCATGTAGTCAAATTTATCATTTGTTAACAACACATGATTAATGATATAATAAACTATTTCATATTGAACAGATGAGGGTTATGAAGAGAGTAAATTAATTCACTTTGCAGTGACTGAATTATAATTCAGTGATATTATCTATTACAGGTCTATTTTTATAGATCTGAGAACAAAAGGACTCACAAAGCTGTTTCTAGTTTTTTTCTTGTAACTTGTTTGCTGCATAAAATCAAGTCATTTGCCTAATCTCTGTTTACCAGTGTCCTCTGTTGTAAAATGTAAAATAGGCCATAAAAACTGCTTCCAAAGTTATTGTAAAGATTTGATAATTTAATAGTTATTACTGCCCCACATTTCTTTTTTTTTTTTTTTTTTTTTTTTTTTTGAGACAGAGTTTCGCTCTTGTTACCCAGGCTGGAGTGCAATGGCGCGATCTCGGCTCACCGCAACCTCCGCCTCCTGGGTTCAGGCAATTCTCCTGCCTCAGCCTCCTGAGTAGCTGGGATTACAGGCACGTGCCACCATGCCCAGCTAATTTATTGCAGTTTTAGTAGAGACGGGGTTTCACCATGTTGACCAGGATGGTCTCGATCTGTTGACCTCGTGATCCACCCGCCTCGGCCTCCCAAAGTGCTGGGATTACAGGAGTGAGCCACCGCGCCCGGCCTACTGCCCCACATTTCTATGACCATTATCACTACCTATGGTAAAGTGAGGCACTTATGAAGAAACAAATCTTGCATAGACTTTAACTGGTTGCAAGCATCCTCTAGAATATGTTCACAGGTACATTGTTTGGCTTCTATGTTAATTTACATAAGATATTCTTTTGTAGTGGTTGTCTAAACTTTTTTAGAATTGATTTATTGGATCCTTAATCTTGGCATACTCCAGCCGTCCAGATCGCCTTCGGGACATTGCTGATCGCTTCAATGTAGACCATGATGCAGTACTGGACAACGTACTTTATGCACGTGCATATACTAGTAAGAGCCCCACGCAGTGGGATGCTTGGGTCAATGTAAGGTTGGCAGCACTGATTTACTACTTGAGTGATACGACATTTTGTTACTTTTTTTCTATTTTACTTTTCTCCAAATTAGTCAGTCTATAAATTTTATCATCTGGTAAGTCCTTAGATAATAAAGTGCCCTCAAATTATTTATTATTCTTTGTCTTTAAAATAAAAAGTAACATTCTTTTTGGATAATGTAGCATTTGGTATATATGCTAAGGCAGAATATGCAATAACTCTTTTTTTTGAGACGGAATCTTGCTCTGTCACCCAGGCTGGATTGCAATGGCCAATCTCAGCCCACTGCAAACTCCGCCTCCCGGGTTCACGCGATTCTCCTGCCTCAGCCTCCGAAGTTGCTGGGATTACAGGTGCACAACACCACACCGGGCTAATTTTTTGTATTTTTAGTAGAGACGGGGTTTCACCATATTGGCCAGGCGGGTCCGAACTCCTGACCTCAGGTGATCCACCCACCTCGGCCTCCCAAAGTGTTGGGAGTACAAGCATGAGCCACTGCGCCTAGCTGCAATAATGTTTAATAAACTCATAATTAAGCGAATCCTTCCAGGAGTCTCTTTTGTCTGGCTCCCAAGAACATGAATGATCTTAGCCTCTGCTTCTTTCAACTTTTATAACATTTTCTCACTGCATTTCCCACCAGGTGAACATCAGATGGAGCTACTTGATTATGTAGCAGCAAAGTTCCATGAGGAACCTGGCATCTTCAAGCTATTGGTTGGTTCAAGCTTTTAAATATTGCTTTCACAGAACTATTTAGCATAATATTTTTCTTCTATTGATCTCTATTCAAAGAACTTCTTCCTTCAATTTCCAAATGCATGTTTATTTTTACATTAATCCTGTGTAGATTATCGATTCAATAATGGCACTTTTTCGAGTGGATTTCAGTGGCCGTGGGGAGTTGGCTGAACGGCAGCAAAAATTGGCCCAGATGTTATCACGACTCCAAAAAATCTCAGAAGGTACATCTTTAAAATAAAATGGCATCTGTGACTATGTTTGCCAAGTATACTTTGCAGAGAAGCTTGGAATATAATGTCAGGAGGCAGTTTTTTAAAAAAAATAAAATAAAATTACCTTCTTGGGAATACCACTCTTTCTTTAAACCAATAATATTTATTCTAACCTAAACAACTTAAATAATTTCTGTTGTCAGTGAAAAATAGGAATATGATGTTGTTTATAAAATAAATTCATGATGCAATATTTCTAAACTCTGAAATCTAAACAGTGAAATTTTAAACATTATATTGCCCTTCTCATAGTTTTTAAATTTTATCTCTTGATGCAGAATATAATGTGGCTATTTTTGTGACCAATCAAATGACTGCTGATCCAGGAGCAACTATGACGTAAGCCCCAATATTCTACTTTTTATTTCACAGAGGTTAACATAAAGAGGGTTACAGTGTAGAATAGAAAATAATTTCAAAATCATTAGTCTTTATGTGGGCACAAATATATTACAAATCACTTTATTGCACAGTATATATGACTTGATAATTCAGATCACTTGGTATCCAGAATCTATTTTTCTCTAGTTCTTTACAGAATAAAGCAATATTTTAACCATATTCAGCAGTACTTTGGGCTTTTCTTTGGTCTAGGGCTAAAGTTCTATAGGAGGACAATAAGAAATGGATCCTAGGGAAATAAAAACTAATATTGCAGCTTATCAGTGCAATAGAAGCCATTCATAAAAAGAGAAAAATCATCTTTCTACAGGATATACATGAGATATATTTATCGGAGGCCCTATGGAAGAAGTCTCCTGTTTGAAGAAAAAGAATTTCAGTCCAGACTAGTCATATTTGGAATTTGTCGAAGTGTTTGTGTATGTGACATAACTATTGATGGCTCTGAAAGATGGCAGGGAATAGAAAGACACAGAGAGCTAAAGTAGGATAGTAAAAATAGAAAAGCCAAAGAAAGGTTTGTTGCCACCGTAACAAATTTTGAGCATTATGTGTCTGAATAAGCAATCAAAATAATCCTAAATTCACACCACTGCACTCCAGCCAGGGAGACAGAGCAAGACTCTGTCTCAAACAAAACAAAACAAACCTAAATTCATGATAATGCTTTTCAAAAGTGTTTTCTTTCTTTTTCTTTTCTTTTTTTCCAAGACAAGATCTCACTGTTACCCAAGCTGCAGTGCAGTGGCGCCATCTCTGCTCACTGTGACCTCCACCTCCCAGCCTCAGGTGATGCTCCCGCCTCAGTCTCCCAAGTAGCTGGGACTACCGGCGCACACCACCAAGCCTGGATAATTTTTTTTTTCTACTCTTTTAAGCCTGGCTAATTTTCTTATTTTTAGTAGAGACAGGGTGTTGCCATGTTGGCCAGGCTGTTCTCAAATTCCTGGCCTCGAGCGATCCTCTCACCTTGAAGTCCCAAAGTGCTGGGATTACAGGTGTGAGCCCCCTTGCCTGGTCAAAAATCTTTTTTAAAAAATCTTTTAGGCCAGGCACGGTGACTCATGCCTGTAGTCCCAGCACTTTGGGAGGCTAACGCAGGCAAATCACGAGGTCAGGAGTTCAAGACCAGCCTGGTCAACATGGTGAAATCTCGTCTCAACTAAAAATACAAAAAATTAGCTGGGCGTAGTGGCAGGCGCCTGTAATCCCAGCTAGTCAGGAGGCTGAGGCAGGAGAATCTCTTGAACCTGGGAGGCGGAGGTTGCGGTGAGCCGA